TATATGCGTGTGTGTGTGTGTGTGCATGTGTGTATGTGTGTATGTGTGTGTGTGTGTGTATGTGTGTCAAGCACACCTTGAAGTGTGTACACGTACCGTGTTTGATTATATTCTTCTGCATATACTTATAATATATTGAGCAAGGATACGGATAAGAAGTGGGATGTTGGGAGCCGTGACTGCGTAAAAGAGTCTATACCAAGTTCATATACACGAGGGCCTACAGATATGAAGTGGAATGTTGGACTCTTGGGTGTGCTGACTTACGATACTGTATGATTTCCGACGATTCCTCACTCTCGCTCCGATAATTGCCGGCAGTACAAGATAGAAGGGTGAATCCGTTATGCGTCATGCCCGTACAGCTATCAATATCTGCCTTCTACCGTCCGGGAACCCGTGCTCGAACGTTGAACGTTCGATATTCTCTATGCTTGCTTCATGCCCTTACTCACCCCACCACGCGCCTCACAATCGCAGGAGAATCAGGGCGGGCGATCTGACCTATCCGCCTGATCTGGACCCACCCCTCACAGACGAGTGCATGAACTTCATACACGCGCTGCTCAACCCCGACACGGACCAACGCCTGGGCATGAGTAAGCCATGGGCCGGGCCGGGAATCAACGAAGTGTTTGAGCATCCGTTCTTGCGGGGGGTCGATTGGGAGGCTCTCAAGCAACGGAAGATAGAGCCCCCCTACGTGTGTCATCCGGGCGAGGGCTCGGATGACGACAAGGGAATGAACGCGTTCGATACGCTTGCGTTTCAGGTCAGTAAGGGGCGGTTGCCGAAGATCGGCATCAACAAGGGGGACCGGGCCAAGGGGATCGATGGGGTAGGTAGCGGGAACGAAAACTCCCGAAGTTCGGGCGGATGGAACAGCAAGCAACTGGGGAAAACACTGAGTCGGAATAGTGGGCACTGTGGCACACCCGGTAGCACGTGCGGGTCTCAGGTGACTGCGGTTGGTGGCGATTCGGTGGTCACGCGGATAGGGGAGGTTGTGGGAGGTGAGGAGGGCTCTGAGGGGACTGGAAAGGGCCCTAGTAGCAGGCTACAGGTGCAGGATAGCAAGGCCAAGACTAAGCTTCAGGTTCAGGATAGTATGGGGAAGGACAGGGAGAAGGACAGGGAGGGGTCTCGGAGTGAGAACAGCGAGCAGAAGAGCATGGTGTTTGCAGACGACTATACGGGCGAGGAGAAGGACGAGTTGACCGATGCACATCCGTATTTGAAGGACTTCGACGCGGTGTTTAGGTATCTGCCGAATGGGCTAGTGACGACGGTGACGGTCACGCCCAGTGCGAAGATTGAGGAACTGATGTGCCAGGCCAAGATGTTCCACTGATGAGGAGTGGGGTGATATATGTATATGTATATATATATATATATATATATATATATATATATATATTATATATATATACTATACACGACACACACACACACACACACACAC